AACATCGACCAGACTACACAGCGCAACAACCCAGAAGACAGAAATCTTCAATGTTCATGTAGTCTTTCCTTGGTCGCCGTAGCATTTCAAGGCTACAGAGACTGTTTTGTTACCTGCAGAATACAGTGGAACAGTTATCGATCTGAAGGCATTATAACTTGAATTAAAACTTAAGATACAGATTTAAACATATAAAGTCCAAAGCTACCGAACGTCGCTGTTGAATGGTTCTCATTCCGTTACGTATTCCAGATATCCGAAGTTAGATTTTCGTTCCTCACGCCGACTAATCTAAAGTATTTTTGTAATTTTCTTCAGTCCCTACAAGCGAGAGCAGAAGATGACTTGCCTCCTGGAAAGTTGTGCCGTGTAGTATCGTATAAATTGACAGAAGGTGCGTACTGCCTAAATCATCAGGGTCTCTGACAATTTCTGCGAGATTACACGATGCAACATCCAAGACGTCATCTTCAAATTCCCGCCGTGAGAATCCGAAATCTCACAAATGAGTACTTCAGGCTGGTATTCTGGGATGTGAAGCCGCGTTGTTTTATGGGTGATTACCAACTATCGAAGGAATCTGTTGCCCTCGTCTTGGGATAAGAAGTGAAGTTTCGAAGGAACGCATTTCCTCCATCCTCGGGGTGAATGTTATTCGAATCCTACAAGATTACAATAGGTCACGACAAAAAAAAACACGTTTCTGATCTGAGCTGATAATATAAAACTGCTTCAGCGTTAATCTTTTAGAATGTTAATCACTCACTCTACGGTGCAGGGAATTCTTTGAAAAGTCGATTGCATACTCGGCTCGTCAAAGAATAGCCCACTTTCTTTACGGAACCCAAAGGTTCATCATCGTGTTCACAAAAGCCGGTCACCAGACTCTATTCTGAGCCAGCTACATCAAGTTCGCTCCATCGATTCATCTCCCCCTAAGTTCCATCTTAACGTTATGTTCCTACCTACGCTTAGGTCTTCCCAGAGGTCTCATCCCTTCAGGCCTCTAACCAATACCTTTAACCAGTAACCAGAACTGCAAGGAAGCTGCACTGCTGAATAATAATAATAATAATAAATATTCACATTTAATTTTTTAAATTAATATTCGTGCACGTGTGTTAACATTGCAAGAATATTTGTTTAAACTGACACCCAAACTATTGAGTTTGCACACGTCACAAAATAACATTTAGTCGCCCGAGGGAAAACGCGCCTCATTAGTATCTCACGAGAGAAAACATTAATTGGACGTGCTAGGCGGCTTTCTGTTTTAAACAAAATAAAATAACGTAAAGTAGCTACTTCTAATCAACGGTGGTCACGCGACGGGTGTAGGCAAAATCACTGTACAACCAAATAAGCCTAATCGAACTATTAACTGATTAGTAAATCAAGAGCGTGGTTTGGTTGATTCAATCTGCATTCCGACAGGCTGAAGGACAAGTTTAATTTGTGCCTAAGGCTTATCCCAATTTAAAATAACATATTCTCATGAAGTGCAAAACCGGTACACAGAAACATAGCATAATCAGAAATTTTAAAGGGCGTTTCACTGACCATAAACAAGCAGTGAAAACTTCAGTCGCTGCCATCTGTTTCAGTAATACGGTAGATGACGTAATCGGCTTTGTTTTGTGAAATCTTTCTAAAATACAGTTTTGTGAAAGATAAAATCAGTTATGATATCGGTTTAGGTCTTTCCATACTTGAACGATATTTCATTCAATTCTAAAGGGTTTTGACGACGGCGGTTTACACTTAAAATTATTCATTGTCAGGACTTTTACCATCTTTAAAACCACGACGTTTCGGAGGCTGGTTCTGTCTCCGTCTTCAGGTGAGAGGTACCTTGTGTCAGTCACTCCAGTGACAGAGACTAGCTCTATCTAAGGGACCCAACAGAGTAGGTACCTCTCATCTGAAGACGGAGACAGAACCAGCCTCCGAAACGTCGTGGTTGTAAAGAACAGACGATGGAAGAAATCCTGACAATAATTAATTTTACGACATTTCATCATCACAAATTCCAGCAGCCACTTCTTTTCTGCGCTTACGTTGTTCATCGTCTATGGTCAAGCTTGACCGTCGTGACCTTTTTCCGGGGATTTCTTGCGAAAGTACCACAGCGGTTTCGCTGTGCTTACTTGGAGTTTGATAATATCAGTGATAATAAATCCTCCTGTCTTCTAGTGACATTCTAAGGAATTCATGATTCTAATCAATGAAAATTATAAACTGCTACGAAGGCGTAGAAACAAGTGAAGGATTTTATTACACAAATCAAACCCAACACAAGAAGTGTAAATTCAGTTTAACCCTTTCAAAACAATTTCAATGCAAATATTATATTATGTCGTTGTCAAACATTACTACCTTTAATCAACCAATATCCTCGATAAAATTGCTTTCTCAAAGCCAATTTGTTCCTGATGTGATCTGAGTCGAATTCAAAGGCCGGATAAGTTATACGACTGACTGAAACACCAGTTTTCTCGTCCAGTGGGGGAAATGATGTGACAAAATCTTACCAAAGTAAAAGCAATTCACCTTTACTTTTGTGGCAGAAAAACGATTAATATTTGTTGTGGATTGTAGTCTTCGCGGTTCTGATGCCGAATAAATTGTGTAGGTGTAATCAGCAACGTTTCGGAGAATACTTCGACCTCGAGGATGGAGAAGATACGTTCCGAAACGCAGATAACAACCAACATTAACACGGTGTCCCAACCCACAAGACCACGATGTATATTTTCACAGTCGCAAAAGCCTCAAACCTCACACAAGACTACTGATCGCGAAACGTAACGCAACTAACATCAAGACCAATGGCACACGCAAAATTTGCAAAGCCCCTGCAACACAGTACACCTTCCCTCCCTTTGTGTACTTGTATTTCGTGAACTTGGAGCCCTGCCCACAGCGGCTGCAGGTAGGGGGCGCGTCTGCTGGAGGAGCGAGCGACCAGTGTGGCGAAGAATGCCGCAGCTGAAGCTCGGCTCCACGCGAGGCTGCTGCTGCCAGATCTTTCGCCGAGGATCGGCGCAGACACTGCGACGAACCCACTGGCTCGCCGGACTCCTCTTCGCGTGTATCTGCCTTACTCTTGCTGGTTTTCTGAATACAGAGTTTCTGGGATCGATCACCACTGTACCCCCTTTCGGCCTGGAGAAAACCTTCAACACCATCCACACAGCTGATAACGACCTGGACACACCGGTGCGTAAGCTTATGGAAATAAAATTTAATTTTATAGATTTTTTGAGCCCAAATGTTTTATTTGTGGTTTATGTGACTACGCTGCCATTATCTCAAATGAAAGGATGATTATTAATACAATTAATAATGAAGCCAAACGTCTCTCTTCTCGTATTTATCTGCAGTTAAAAAATGTTATACTGAATATTCTATAATAAGCTTATGCAGTTACAAAACGTTATACTGAATATTCTATAATAAGCTTATTTAATGAGCTACTGTTTTACGCTGATATGCCTATATCTGTTATTGGTCTGCTTATTGCTTTGGTGCGTATGAAGATACATAATTTTAAAATGCATCATGCTTAATTTAAGACCAAGTCTCCACTCCAGCATGCCAAAACGCTTTGGCTTTACTAATATGGTAGAATCTATCATTCGAGTCAACTAACTGGAAATCAGAATGTGAATAACAGAAGCATAACATGACAGCAAATAAAAGAGAAATGAAATAAATGTACAATTTCATGCACATGAGTAATAATTACAAAGACAATCTTTTAATTATTGTCGACAATAAAACATAAAAATAAATGGGACTGTATCAGACATTGCACTTACACGTGACAACGGGTGGGAAGGCGCGAACAATTTTAACAATTTTTAGCAGTAGTGCGCAACGCCATGAAGACGTGTTGGGAAGTGAAGGTACAGCTCCTGCCATTCTTAACCTCGGCACAAGATGAAGATGAGTGTCCAATCTCGTGCTAAGGCCGCTTTACCTTTATTGTCCCCTGAATAAAAGGCACACCCGGGTGGACTTTGTAGGAATTGTGCCTTGGCCGCCCGGAACCTGGCTGAGCTATCTTCAGCATATTTATTTGTATTTTTGCGTTTTTAATAAAAAATGTGGATCCCCTCAGTCTGCGTGTGCGTGGGTTGCCTGTTTCTCTGAAGTCACACTCATAAACCTGTCTTTATTTCAGGGAGCGTTTCTGAGGTCGCCACCGCAAACCATTGTTGCATACTCGCTGGAGCGTCAAGTGGAAATGGAGCAGAGAGAACAGATCGTCTGCAATAACCTTCTCGGTATGCGACCCATGTCCTCCCAGATCCATCGCATCAACGCCTACTGGCAAAGCCCACCTCATTCAGGCCTACACCTGTTCTCGGCCCACTACGATGCTAGGCTTGACAACTATCACTACGTCCGAATCATTAGTATGGTCGAGGGCCACAGGAACGCCTCCATCTACTGCCAGATTTGGTACGACAGAGAAGTCCTCGTGCTGGAAGCATTGCGTCTCGATATATGGGCCTCACAATGGGACAGCAACGCCAGCATAGACTCTGACAACCCAGTGATGTTCAGCTGTCCAGTACCAAGAAATATCAGCATTGATACAGTTAAAAGAGAACGCTTTCCTCTCGGTGTTTCTGTGACAATGAAGCCCTGTGAGTCTCCCAGAACGTTTTTACCAATACACACCCCTCAGATATCGTCGTCGGAATCTCGGAGAGACTTCGCAGTTTGTGTAAAAGGCCTTGACTTCCAAAGGCGAGATATGTCGGTAAGAATTGCGGAATGGTTAGAACTGAATCTAATATTAGGTGCAGATAAGTTCTTCGTCTATGTTTACAGTGTGCATCCAAATCTGAAGCGTGTTTTAGAATACTATTCCAGTATCGGTGTTCTCGAAGTCATTCCATTGAGTTTACCGGGCAAACAGCCAAACAGACCAAGACAAAGGTCCAGGTACCTGAAGACAAATCTTTGGCAAAAGAGGCGAGATGAACTAGTGCCCTATAATGACTGTTACTACCGGAACTTGTATTCGCATCGTTTCGTACTTCCGGTAGACGTTGACGAAGTTATAGTACCAGTAAAGACTTCAACCTGGAACGCCATGTTCCAAGAATTATTTTCAGAAAATCCTAACTTACTTGATAAATATTCATCATTCTCAGTGCGCAACGCATATTTCTTTGACGATTTCCCTGTAACTGACCAAAGTGATGTACCAAAATATCATCATATCCTCAGGCATACTACAAGGAGTGCTAATTTCAGTCCGGGACTAGAATCTGTAAAGAGTTTTGTATCAACAGACGGTGCGCTCACAGTGTTTAATCATTACACTTTAAGAATTCTGAGGCCATCAACAGCCCGGAACCTTGTGCTGGACATAAACGTTGCTCAGATGAATCACTACCGAGCTACCTGTTCCTCAGACACTGTACCAGGCTGTCACAATAACTTCTTGAAGTACAAGAAACGAGACGCTCTGGTGCTCAGATACGCTAACCAACTGGTAAGAAGACTAGTGGCAGTACTGAAAAATCTGTACCTTGTTTAGGGTAGAAATCACGTACAAAATTAAATGTTTTCTGAAAACTGTCCCAAAGCCAAATATAATTAGGGAGAAAAGTACGTAAATTTTAACGCTTCGAGACACGTGTTCTTTATTTGTTACGCATATTGCGTGAACAAACGCGCTAAGTAAAATGACACGAACTGTGTCGCTTTAAGTAACTAAACAAACTGTTACTAAAGCTGATTTTGAATTGTTTTCGTTATTTGGTTTTTATGTGTTTATCTACTCCACTGTTACAAAACTAACCGACTCACTGTCACATACGAAGGTGCGAGCCTCTGTAAATTCACTCACAGACTCGCTTAATTCATACTTATGTATACATAACGTAAGTGTCATGCACGATTTGCATTTATATTTAGGATCTGAGGTTCTCACGGCGGGGAGTATGAACATGGCTGTCTTCCGGGTTTACCGTCGTTTCAGAAGTATCTGCTGATTCAGTTACCAGGACCTGAATGACCTGATGATGGAGGCAAGCAAGAGGCTTCAAAACATATATAAACTTCACCAGAGATATAATTTAATACGGGACAATTTTATTTAAACTGTCGAATCATTTAAATTTTAAATCAAACGGAAAATGTTAATGCTAACTTCAATTGTTTAAGCAGAAGAACGCGACGAAAAGCACAGAAAGGTCTCGATTTCGTTCAAACTTCGCCGAAATCAAGTTCGTCCTATTCCGTCAAATTCGTGTAATAATGGTGGAAAGTTAAGCCTTAGTGCTCACTGTTTACTCGGTCAATTTTACGGTTTCCAAGTCTCGCTGTAATCGTCATTTCGCAGTAACTTGAAAAAACATGGATTTTTAACATTTCATTTACAATTCTGCCAAAAGCTCCTGTTACAGTATACGACTTCATTGCATTTCATACTAACAAATTTGCATACTGAAATATTTTTAAGTAATTTAAATGGCGTATGAGTGTGTAAATGGCACAAGACGCTACGCATATGAAAGTAAATTTACCATTACAGGAACGAATGTGAAAAAATAAACACACGTTTAAAATGTTTCGTGTGGAAAAGCAACTTAAGCAAATGAAAAGGAGAAGTAGAATAAACCAGTAAATAACTTAGTTTCGATAACTGAATTTGAAATATAAATGTTCACAAATAACAAGATGAATTATTGTGTACGCCTGGGCACCGTCACAACGGTATATCGATAATTTGGAATATTTTACAATGTGCATATGATCGTCCAGTCTCTGAAACTGCACAAACTTAGCAGATTTTAATAAAAGTGAAGTCCAGGACCCGTTCTTACTGACAGTAAATGATGGCAATAAATGCATTTACTTTGTCACAAAATAAAAACTTTTATGTTTTGTCACTGATATGCAGGCCTCGTCATCATAATCCTGAATCCTTATTGAAAATACATTTAAATTTGCAAAACAAAAAGGAAAGATATCTATTCGCTGCTTGGACTAAAGTAAATGCGAAGGGACCTTCTTGAGAAGCTGACAATAGCTGAACTAGTCAAGAATATCCGCCTTTTATGGAAACTTAGGGTTAATCATTGCGTTCAAAACAGCTCGTCATCGGTCCATATCATCAGCCACATGAATCCAATCCACTCCCCCCCACACACACACAATTTGGCCCGCGCAAGAGGCCGAATCCCGTTCAGGAGATATTACCCCACGTATATAAACGATTCCAGTAAGAAAGTTTAACAGGAACAAAGAGTATTTAAGGAGTTCTTTCCGTACCATTAAATCAGTTTTTATTGCAAATGTTTCGTCGCACTGAACATACGTTACGTGACGTAAAATATTTTGTAGCGCAGATACAAGAATTTTCTACTTCCATTCCCAGTCCCTGAGGTTAACTATGTAGATTAATTACTTTGTTTTTCTCTCTCTAACTTTCTTCGTCTTTTTCGAAAGATAAAATTAAAAAAGAAAACAATACGGGAACATACATGTAAAGGAAAAAAAGTAAGGAAAACGTGATTTTATAGTTCGTTTCGTTTAAAGACAAACAACATTTGTGCTTAGTTCCGACGACACACGATTCGACAATCAAGCACGAGCAGTCACGACGGAACTGATTTGCCCTCGCTGGTCGTTCTCAGAGCCGTCAAGCGCGAACATCAGATGTTGAGGCGGTCACAGTCAACAACTTGGTGGCATGCTTTCGCAACAAAGCGGTTTCCGAGATTCGAGAATTCGCAGGCATTAACTACCTTCACGTCACTCAGAATATTATCTTGTGGGCCGTCAACTGATCCTTGAGTAATAGGCCTATAACGACGCTGTTTCAGCTGCAGAATGCGCAGGTACGGCGTGGAATGAGACGTTAGAAGTATCGTGTCTACTTGAAGATACTACGTCGGCATTCTCAGGGCAAGACTAGAGAGAATTGCCAAAAACTTGTCAGAAAATGAGATTCGAGCTTTTCATGGCGGCGAGAGTTCAGATTGTGGTGGTTGCAAACTTCTTGAGGAACATACTGCCTCTACCTTCAGGGTATAATCTGAAGGCCGCAAGTTCCTCACATTAGCTTTCTCGATAAGATTAATACCCGTTAATCAGTTCCACGCTGTTGCCTGTCTGTTTCACAATTATAGTTCAACCGGTCGAAGCAGCGGGCATTTGCATACAATTTCACAGTACGATATATTCATGTTGTATTGTTTTAAATACTTTTTCATGACTAGTTACAAATACAATAAAAATATCTGGTTTGAGCTTCATCCAAGCGTTGAAACTCCTCCCCTACGTGCTTTAGTTCTCATTTCACGAAAAAATGAACTAAGAAATCAACAGCGAGAAAAAAACATGCAGACGCACATCTTCACGAAAAACTATACTAGGGTTGTGATTCGTAAAACAGAAATCAGGGGCTTAATCCACGAGAGCTATCATGACTGGTTCTATTCCGCTTTCATTACTTTTTTCAGCCAAATGACAAGATATGACATCGTTTACATTGAAAAGATTCGCCCACTAAAACCGCATCAAAGAAGGAAATCTAGACCGGCGAGTAGAAATATAATTTCTCGATAACATCGATGTTAACAGAAAGTATAATAAATCAAATTTGCATGGGAATTAAAAAGCGGAGAAGAGAAATCGAGACCAAATGTCTGAACAGATTAAGAAATCTCCCATGTGTGACGGGGCCAAGGTCCTTCAAGGACTGTAGAGCCACTGATAATAACAAAACAAAACTAGAGACATTGGTGAAAAGCTAAACCTCACTCGTTCTTCCGAAATCAAATACCGAAAGGCCTTAAATCAATGGATTTATGTGGCTCATGTAAGATGAATGCCATTGGTCATTTTTATGACAGTGTCAATGGAGAAAAGTTATCTGTAGATGCCACATCACTAGGCTCCGCGGTTTGATGGAGCTGGAGGCAACTCAGATTGTTTCACGCAAGCCTGTATCAGTTGTCACTGGCTAAATAAGACATTTCAAGAACAGTTTTTCGGTAGAAAGGGGCAGGGTGAGAGTTCCGAGATCAATTCATTTAAATCGATTCCATTATCTGAGACTAAGTCAAGTCACATGTTTACACAGCAAAAATGAATAATCTGCTTAATCGCGAACGCCGAACTTAATAAGTCTCCCAATCCATCATCACAGATATCCTAAGAATAATTCAAAAGAACACGTTGTTTCATCTGTAAAGACAGCTCGAGGTAGACAGTAGACATTTTAATAACACTAAAAACTAAAATTAAAATAAAGTATTTTGGTTTTTGTTCAACATTCTAAATACTAAGGAAAGTTAAAATTTTTACTAAACAAATATTATGACCACACTTTATGTAATATTTCAGCTTAATACCGCCAAAGATGGTAATTCACGAAGACGTAACCATTCTAGGCAAAGATAAGGTATTTTAATATAATATAAATTATTATACCGCAAAAATGGAAACACGTGCCATAGGGTACTACTGTTATACGCATTGAGTAGAACACAGCTTTTGTGAACATTTTATTTAACACCGGTACCCTACATTTCTATAAAACAGGATGATTTACATCCCTCATTATTAAAACTGGTGCGCTGGCCAGCTGTGTAAATGAATTAGAGCGAAACAGTGCGACTTAAAAATGGATGGATGGACGGCAAGATGAGTGCACTGATATTTCAAATGGACAGCAGCTGAAGCTGATGATAGTTCTTTAATGATCTTCTATTCATGCCTGTACAACGGAAATGATGTCATTCATAATCTCCTCTGTATATGGCAGATAATGCGCAGAACGCTGACCATCTTTAATAAGATACATTGTTTCAAACAAAAGAACAGCACTCTCTTAGGGGCAGAAGATCCTTCGGGTTAACCATTAGATCCAGAATGTGGCCTAGGAGGTCAGTGATTCTCCATGCAAACGTAAATTAAATCACGTGTCATGACAAAGAACTGAAATCTGGCAAAAGATTAGTTTCTACACATTCTTTGCGCAAAAGTAAAATTTAAGCCTATTTGTTCGCAAACTTCAACTCAATTTAATCCTCTAAAGTAAACTCAGAGTGGTACATAATACACTTACTCGCATATTTATACGATATTTCAGTTTATCAAGGCGGTTAAAATAAAGTCAGTATTTTCCTCTGAAACGATTGTACCTACCTACAAGTCCACACGGCGTTATAAGGCTTTAACCATTCAAGGCCTAATGGTAATTATATGTGCCGTCTGCTTTAACGTTAAGTAAATCTGCATTTTACCCACAAAGTGTATGGTTTCCCATTATTCTCAGAGTAAACAGCGATTATTTTCCTAAACCGCATTAATCAACTCATATTTTTAATAACGAAGTGTGTCTTCTTTGCAGTAAGAAGTAATTGTTTAAATATTGTTTATGCAATCCTCAGCTTCAAAGACTTCACTAGTTGTAGGATTTCACTTTTTCACGGCGATGGGTTGTTGCGCCGTGTAGTCTGGTAGACGTTTACCGACGTTTCAGAGGTTCTTCCATCACGAGGGCATTGAATAAGGGGGGAAAATTAATTGGACAGCGGGAGTGACGGCTCACCTCCTAGAACCGACGTCAAGAATTCCTAGAAATTTGCCCCCGCGCCCACGTACATTTTCATAACAACTTCACTTCCTTTAGACAATAAAAGAAAAGCATCACGGCGCGAAGACGTATTTAGACAATAAGACAATGTATATAAATCGCCAGGCACTTCCAACCTCGCCAATTGTCACTACAGGGAGGGTGAAAGGTCAGCTTCGGTGATTTAACCCCATTGGATAAGAAATTGTGTCGGTTCCACAGACGTGGACATGGTCCATGAAGAGAAGGGTCCTATTTCTGTATGGAATCGAACTTCAGACCGGCCAAAAATACGATGAAAATATCCGTATCTGCAGTGCTGATCAGCTTCATAACCAAATATTTATCATGTCTGCAGCAACTGTGGTTCAACCATACTACAGCTGACGCGTTTGGGAAATGCGTAGTACAAATTGGCACTCGTGTTGACTCTGGTCGTTAGCATGATGATCGCTATTCTCGGAGCCGTGGGTTTGAATTCCGCCTGCGGCACGGATGTGTTGCGCATCTTCATCGCCTCTCATTATCAGAGATTGCTCGACGTCACTGCCTGATTACTTCGTTCACTGGTTCGGATAGATAGGCTGCCTCTTTAATCACGTCCTTATTTCTCATTCCCTCACACTGATACACCGAGCAGGTTTGATGCCCTGGAGTACACCAGACTTCGTTTGTGAATACATTTGTTAAAATTTCGAGTCTAGTGACGCTTTTCTGGTTCTTTGCTCCAAGCGAATTCATGGATTAGTCCATTTCTAATTGTATCTCAATGGTTCTTTATGGCTAAGAGCTTCGTAACAGAGAGGTCTTTGCGGAAGAGGCTCATAGCTACACGCAAAACCACCGATCCGGACAGCCTTAACCTTCGACTGTTTTTCTTATCACCTCTTACCTACTCTGCCATCGCTTCTCATAACCAGTAGATCTACATGGGCGCAATGCACCACTTAAGAGCTCTGGCCTTTACAGAAAAATTTCCTGAATGGTTCTTTAAATTTGTCGATATTTAATAGGCTCCTCGGACGTGGGGTCAGTCCGTCGCAGGGTCTCTACCAACACAGACAAAACGACATAGAAATAAATGGACAAAAATCCATGTCTCGAACTCAAGATCCCAGTGTTCCAGATGTCAAGATGCATGCCTTACACAAGCGGCCACTGTGATAGGGAAAGTTTCTACCCAATCACATTCATTATTATATTCTCATATCATTCAGCGCTATTTAAGTTACGTATTTAAATAGCATTGTTAAATAATCGAAGAATTAGCGACTAGTTCAGGGAAATGTGCGTTACGTTCCATCATGCC